TATATATATATATATATATATCACAAAAAAAATAAAAAGAGAGGGAGGAGGGGAAGAAGATAAAAATATTATCAAACGGATATATATTTTTTTTCTTCTCCCCCCCCCCTACTGTCTTTCTTTCTCTTATTTTTTTTGCGTAAATTGCAATTTAAGCAATTTATTAGAAATTGGAACATTTCGAAAGTGATAATTATTTTTAACTTCGCAACGATTCAATAACCCCATATTTTTAAGCTTAAACAAGCTCACTTTGATTTGTTAAATTTATGAGTGCTTATATTTATATGCAAGTTATTTGTACCTTCGATAAAATCATCGTATTTCGATACTTGCGACGAGAATAGTCGCTCTTTTAAATATTTAAGATTATACATCCCATTTTCTCTTAAAAGAGAACATTCATAAACTATAAACATGTCTAAAATAAAAAAGTAATCTCATCTCACATACATAAATTTTTTGTTGTACGAAAAAGTCATTTTATGCTTACAATTTAAAATTCATTTTATGCTCTTACAATTTACAAGTATATCTGTATAGAAAATTCTACAATCACATATATTTAATGTAATTTTAAAAAAATGGCTGTACAGGAGCACGAATAGATAAGCGAGTCTTTTTAATTACTAGATTTATGAAACTACAATCTCGAATATATACGAAGATTGTGGTTCTCACACTACCGCCGGCACGTGGAAATATGCGAGGCTTTATCCAGAGCGCGATATAGTATTAATTCGTTCCGCTCTGAAAGCTAATCCAGACACGAGACTAACCCTTGTTCATTTTCTTCGCCCTGCACCCCAAAATTCGTCCACTCTGCTCTTTGATACGTGACCAGGCTCCCGAATCGTTTGTTCACTTTTCCCCTCCTAAATCTCTGTGGATATTACTACGATGTTGCTTTATACGGCATTTTATCCCGGAACGTTTTCACACGAGTCGTATTTTTTTCACCGAAAAAAAATGGCACAATTTATATCTTTTATCGGAAACGGATATTCAAAACTTAAGCAGTCCACAATGCATCGCAATGCGAATCATTTTATTTAGTATATCGCTTCTCTTTTGCTCTATTTTTTTTTAATTTTATATTTACACTATAAAATTATTATTCATTACTATTATTGTATCAAATTATAGTCGCGTACCATTGTTTAATTAAAATAATCATCGTCGTGCTGTCGAATTATACTCATAATCAAATTAATAAAAAAATTACTTGACAAAAATTGATTAATATTATTGGTAAGCAATTTAAATAAGACCAAATAAATCCTTTTAAAGATTATCTATTTCGGAATTCGATTAAAGCCATGAAGAGGCACTTGACGGGATCGAATTGCGTCACACGACATGACGCGCGACCATCGTTATCGAGACTTTGCTTTCTTTCCTCATATGGTCGTTTCAGTTCGACTTTTCGTGTCGAAAGAATGCGTCCAATAATCCGAAGACAATCTGACGATCTTGGAGAGCCTCTTGATTCCACGGCGAAAACGCACCGTTCCCGGGTTCCGTACCTGGGATCCCGAAAAAAAAGGGAGAGGGGAGGGAAGTACCTCCTCTAATAAATTCCATTAGGCATGGGCTCTTGCGCGTAAGGGCTCCGATATTATGTTACGCGTTTTGACGTGCGCTCTCAATGGGCGCGCATCCATTACGCGCGGGCCCGGTGTGCGACACCGGTCCTTCGAGGTCGGAACTCATTCAAGCAACCAGGTCCTTTGGTGCCCTACCACTGATCTTGGGATCCCTTAGCCGACGAGGTCCCAATCCGCGCAAACCAGGCGAGCATAATTCGATTCACGAATGCCTCGCTTCTTCCTCTACCCGCGCGCGCGTCCTTTGTCGCGCGATGCTCATCCTGGATACCGGATAGCGGCACGCAAGATCCTGCCTTTTGTCGGTGCTCAAACTTTCTCTCTCTCTCGATCTCTTTTTCGGTCTGTTTTTATTTATTCTCCTCGAGAGCGAGCGACGAGATCGCTCGCTCGGAGCTGCTAAAACGAGAGAAGGAGCGATGACGACGGGGTGAGATCCTTCAAGTAACTATCGGGACAATACCCACTCCCGCCGATCTATTAGCAAGAATAACGACGTGCCACAGACTCTTCTGCCTCGATGGATCTCCAAGGATGAATAGATCGAAGCGTTCGAGCTCTCTCTTTCTCTCAAGTCGCGCTAACGCTTCATACGTAACGAGCGGATCCTGGGGTTAACAAGTTTCGGCATTCAGGTAGAAATGGTCGACAAGGCACACTGTCTTCTTCATTGAAATCTCCATCGGCGGAAATTATCGCGGCGCTCTCGACGTTTTGCATTCCGCGACAAGACGTAGAAGATGTCGCAACTACATGATTTGACTGGAAATGTTAATGTAAAAAGCGACACCGTACAATTAATATTACACGCTGATTTTGAAGTTTGTGCAGCATTGTTGTATTAATTAAAATTTAAATAGCCACCGTCGGGAATTATTAATATAAGGATTCACATTTAATCGCCGGGCGCATCGGAGGAATAATAAAAGAATTTCACATTTGATATTACAAACGTGATTATTGCTAATTGCAATAATATATTAATTTGCCCGGTAATTATACAATATGCAATAATTACAGCCAATTTTAGTCTAGATAAATGAAAAAAAAAAGAAATATTTTTTCAAAGTATCTATCAATTTTTCGAAGCTGTCTTGAAGCAGTTTACGCATCTCTATCTCTATGAATTGATGCACATTGGTAATAATATCAAATCTTACTTTTCTAGTGGAGGAAAAGAAGAAGTGGGGGAGAGAGTTGAAGAGCAACGGTGAGAACGAAATGTCGAAACTGGGAAAGTTCGGTCGTAAAAGGGTCGAGTGCTCTTGGGTGAACCAAATCAAGGGACGGAAGGAAAGGGTGACGGAGGAGGGTAGGGAAGGTCGCGTAAGCAAAGCACGAATCGAAGTTGGTAGCTACGGCAAACGGGTAGGAGGAAGGACGAAGGGGAGACGAGCACGCGATTAGACGAGATTGAGAAAGTCCTTTGTCGTCGCATGGGATAAAACTTTTTTTTTCTGCCGTCTCGCTCTCTTTCTTCACCTTCCATTCGTCCGGCTCCCTTCGCTCTGTCTCCGTCATTGTCTTCTTCCGCTCACGCCGCCCCCTGTTGTGCCCCTTTATCGTCCAATGAGATATCAGACGATATTCGTTACGACCACCAGAAAAAAAGTACGAACGAGTCCGCCTCATTGGTTAGCACTCGATGCAAAAGAAATGGTTCGAATTTCTTGTCGAATCCCTTCGGATCCTTTTCGAACTTTTCGAACTTGTTGATAAAATACTCGATTCGATATTCGAATAATATCGACAATCTTTAATGAATTTAATCAATTATTATCAAAGATAAGCAAAATATTTGAAATAGAAATTTGTATGTCGATAAAATATAAAATGTTTTAAAAAATTTAATTCATTTTTTACGAATGAAAAATAAATATTTTAGATATGCATTATTTTCGTTAATGAAATTCTAACTAATCGATTAAAATAATTATTTTTTTTTTCATCACATGGGCAATAAAATATTCGATATTGAATACTGAATATTTTTTCACAATTTATATTTATTGTATTGATTCAAAAAATTATTTATTTAAATAAATCTGTTTCTATTCGTGTCAAATGATGTTTTTGAATTGGCATCAACAAGTTGTTCACGTTTTTGAAATAATATAAAAAATAATATTTAAAATGATTACATAATACAAATTCAAATATTTTAAATATTATATCAAATAAAAATATTTCTTTGATATTTCTTCAAAATTACTTAATAATTATTAAATTTATTATATTTTAATTTATTATATTTTTTTGATTATTACATTATTGATTATTTTTCAAATCTATATGAGTTGATGGCTAAAAAATTATTTAAATTGTTATTAAAATATTTTTACGAGCAAGGATAATAAAGTGACATTTTATTGCAATATTAAAGAGACATATTGAGATAAATAATAAATTGCAAGTAAAGTATTCTCTACAGACACGAGAATACATATTGTGTTACTTGAGCTATCCTTCTCTGATTGAAATTTAACTTCGCAACCACTCGTATTTACCCGAGTATATCTGAAGCTTTCGCTGAATATTGCATTTCACATATAATCTGCTAACGCTCGCGTCGAGAATATGCCGAAATAAATAGCGTAATAGCCTTTTATAAGTTACAAACCTTCCCGCATTAGAACTTTCTATTTTTAATATCTTTCGACAATCTTTCCAATCCGCGTGACACATCCGCAAATCCGTCTTGTTGCCTCGCGTATTCGAAAGTAAATTTTTGTCGGATTTGTTTAAAAAAAATTTCAGATCGCTCGTAGATAGGGTCTATATGCCTAGCGGTTTTCCATCTGGCATTTATCCACCCCCGACGGCCACGATAACGGTCGACGCGTGCCTAATCGTGAGATCGGCTCAACCCTTTGCCAGATGAAAACCCAGGCCACCTGTCCTGGATTACTCGCGACCATTATAAGCCTCGAGACCGCCAGCCGCCCTAGATTCCAGGGCAAATCCTCGCGCAGACGTGTCGATCCGGCGCTTTTCTTACGAAACAGCCTGTACCGACTCTCTATTTTAGGGTGATTCATTTTTAAAGGGGTTCTGTACTTTAAGTCATCACTTAGCTATCGAAAAGTTTCGATTTAATAAAAACGGATACCTGAAGTTTTCCCTTTTATGACAGTTTAGGACGGTCGATTTCGAAGTTTTATTACATCGGTGACTGAAGACAAATTACACAATGCAATAAAAGCTCGTCTTTTCAAAGAAAAGAATTTCAAGGCTAAACGATTCTTTTTTCTTGAAAACCTTTGGAGAAATCCCCTTAACACGTTCACACTTTATATGAACGCCGAAATATATAACTCTATTGTCAGCGCATGGAGCAATTAAAGGATATCTTGTCGATCTTAAATTAAAAATGTTTTCCGATTGTTGTTGCAGGGTGTTTGTTGGACAGTTCGGCACCGCGGGGCCCACCTGATGTGCCACCCCGTAATCCCGCAATGAGCCGGCTCAACGGAAGACTGCCAGGAAGTCACGCAGCGAGTGATCACGAACGCGATCCTGATCTCGAGCCATCCTGCCTCGTACGCACCCCATCCGGTAACTTCTACAATATACCAAGTGAGTAGGGATCATTAAATCTGATTTAGCGGAAACGAAAAATATATGTACGAAAGCGGAAGATTCGTGGGAAACGATGTTTTTCCCCCTTTTTCCCTCTGTCTATGAGTAGCTAGGTCGCGTATCGTGAAATGGGGATTCGAGTTACCCCTTTTCTTCATAATTTTATTTATTTTATAATTTAATTTTATTTATAAAAATTATCACTTTAAAATTATAAATATTCAAAGAATATTCACGTAACGTAAAACTTTCATGATTTCTAATAATGAAACTCGAAATTCGACAACTGTGTATTGAGATCTCTACATCTTTATTACGGAAATTATTAAATGAAAAGAAAAAGAGTCTATTGGTCAAAGAATCCGTAGGCAATATTTTAGGTACTCGTGCATTTTCCCCTTTCATCTTTGTCATGCACAGAAGCTCCGTTCTCCATTACCTTAATTAAGGGCAATATTGATCGAGAAAACTGGATTTTTTTCTCTCTTTTATCTGATCAGGTAATTCTGTCAAGAAATGAAACTATTTTCGTGCTGTCCTGATTTTCTTTTATCTTCTCGATCGATTTGTTATCTCCTCGCAAACATAAACATGAAACTCCTCGATGCTTTTAATAATGCCGCGCGATTGCCAAAGTATCGCGAAGAGAAATATCAACACGCATCAATATTTGACGGAGAAGAAGCCGAGTGGCAGGATGTGTCCACCGATAATGTCGTCCTTTGCACCAGCTCGTCGAAAAAAGACTTATTGTTAGATACGGGATGGCGGCAAGTGACATCTTTTGACGAGGGTATACGTCGTAATCAGCGGTAACCAATGAGGGAGGGGGGGGGTCAGCCTCAGCAACAGGGGAAAGGGGCAACGACGATAATTTCCAGATCCTTTCGCGCGGGAGCTTGACATATCTTATCGTCTTCGGGTTTTTCAAAGACCCCTCGAAAGCCGTGCCGAGGTACCTGAACTGTTCCTCTTTTACGTCCAACTTTTCGTGTGCCTCTGTTTGCCGAAAGTATCCCAACAGTATTCTTTCGCTTTATCTTGGGAAAGCAAGGCACGTGATAGCGCCGCACCCGGCGAGATGCTCGCGTGTTTCGCGTGAGAAAACGCGGTTCTCCTCTCGTGAAATAAAAGTTGGAAATAAAAGCCCGGGGCTTGTTGGAGTAGTTAACTTGACTCTAACAAGCCTCGAACGCTCGCGCGCGATTCTCAAAATTTAGTCGCCGGATCGAATCGGTCTGGTTCGGCTCGGCTCGCTAACTTAGCTTTTCACGAGTGTTCTTCAAACTTATACTCGTATAGGCAAATTAATTACAAATTTAATTTAAAGTATCGTAACGTTGAATAACTTTGCCAATGGCAACTTTTCAATTAAATACAAAAAAAAAATGCTCGATCCACTCGATGTCTAGAAGACGTGAGATGAAACGGGCAATGGAGATCGCGAATATCGCAAGTGTTGAATACGATTATTTTGCATTTTATTAAATCTCGATGCTTTTTTTTTTTTTAGAAAATATGCTCTCTCTTTTTTAAAATGCAAAACTTCAAGTTAATGTAAAGTAAAGATAAATAGACGATTTTCATGTTGAATTCAACGACCATGCTCGAATTCACTACCCCGTGCTGCGACGAAGGGACGGTCGCTTGACGATTTCAACTTGTCCTTCGTGCCACCGAGCGCACTCGAGGAAAGAAAAGGGCGCCTTGCGGCGACATTTTCCGAGGCACTCTAGTGAGTGGTATCGACTACGGGGAGGAAACAACGGGGCGAAACCTAAGCATTTCCACGTATAAAGTATCTCCGGATCCGCCCGGGAAGAGTGTCCGAGCACCCGGTCTTGTCCTCTTCCTCTTGTTTAGCTCGTCGTAAAGATTTTTCAAATTCCACGGTCGGACGCCGGGGGTTGACTTATCCGCCAATGCGTTTCTCTGTGTGTATACCCCTTGCGTCACTTTTCTAAAGCACACGCTAAACCGTCTCAAAGGTTCTCCTGAAAGCCATGAGATAGCTCGTGATTTATGATCCTTCGACATATTGACTGCCCGGTTACGGCCTGACGCTTATGACCGTCTGCATAATACTTAGCTCCATTTATAGTCGAGATTTCTCTTTTCCAAGGGTTATCTCGCTCACTCATATTCGTTTTCTGAATGGCGAAACGTGGAGTCGTGCTTGTTACGGTTGTCAATTGCATAATGTGTAAATTGAAAAAGGTTTTTACGAATATAAAAGGATTACGTTTCTTAAAGTACATTAATATGTACTTTTGTTCTCTGTATATCTCTTCCAGCGAGCTATATATATATTTATATAAAATAAAGTTCGAGTTTTGTTAATCCTTTGCATTTTGTATATTTTTGCATGATATTAATTTATTTATATTTAAATATGTATTTATAATATTGAATTGAAAAGAGTCATGATGAATATAATTCTATATTTATTTTTTTATTTATACTTAAAAATATTACACTTATAACTCATTTATTATTACGTATTTTTTTATAATATTTAATTATTTTTATCTATGTTATATTAAAATTTCATTATTTATTATTTTTTTTTACATTTATATTTTCTTTACATGAAAAGAATAATAGAAATTAATTATTAAAATTTCAAAATTTTCTTAAAGGCAATCTAGTTAATATCAGGAATAAAAGATTAAATTTATAATTTCAACACAATATTATAAATCAATGGACTATTAATTAAAATGGAAGAAGAGAAAATTTGTAGATATTTATCGCGAATATTTTTATGATTTTATTATTTGAAACGGAAGAAAGTATTTTAATCATTCATATATTTTGTTAAAGTTTTCTCAAAGTATGTATATTTCATTCTCTGTATATAAATTGGACGTGTCGCGTCCAAATATTTCATTGTTTCACGTCACTTGAAGAAATTTATTTCAGTAGCTTTCAGTCGAGGTATACGCATATAACTGAAAATGATTGCGCTACAGAAAATTTAGCCGCTCAAATGATTTAACGCGGCCAACAAAGTCCCGATCCTATGCATATTCACATTCAACCCTTTGCCGGGGCTATTCCTCACGCGGGGACGCCTCTCGCGAGCGCATCATCTACAGTAAATCACGTGGCAGCTCGCCAATTAGAGTGATTTCTCGCCGGCGAACCGCCGATTAGCAGATATTCCCCTCTAATTCGATTCCGGGCGACGGGGGTCGTCCGTCTCGTGCGCCTAAGCGCTTCGGAGGAAAAAAATAAAAGCGTAAGGCACCCTCCGGGTAGAAAGCGGAGTAACCCCCGAAATCACCGTAATCATGAATATCTGCCTAAATGGCATAATCACCGGATTTCGGCGGAGCCGGAGCACCAACACCTGCAATTAGCGGCAGCTTCGGGGGGTCAGCGGCTCCGGCCTGGGCCCTCTTCTTCCCACGCCCGCGTTTTACCGGCGTTGCATCGCCGTGGTATGTGTAAAGGCACGGAGAAAGAGCGGGTTCTCCCTTGCAGTATAAGAAAAGACTGCAGTAACCAGCTCTCTCCCCCCTCTCCCCCCCTCTCCCCCCTCTCCCCCCTCTCTCCCCCCTCTCTCCCCCCTCTCTCCCTCTCTCTCCCTCTCCCTCTCCCTCCTCTCTCTCTCTCTCTCTCTCTCTCCCTCTTTCTCTCTCTTTCTACCTCTACCTCTCTCTTTGCCTGCTTTGCTCTTCTTCTTTATCGAGCACCTCGAAAATGGGTTTCGTGAAGCAGTCTCGAAAGGGGCTAAGTGTCAAGAACAACAAAGCTCGAACTCGAATGCCGCCTGCGCGCGTAAACGTGCAAAGTGGCTCATTAATATTCAAAACGCTGCCGCGGAGCGCTGCGTTTTAAATTGCGCAACGCGCATGATATCTCGCCGCACGAATGGCCGGGTTAAACTTCTAAAATTAATTCGGGGCCTCGTTACAAATGTAAATACATTTCAGCCGCGTTTATTTCTATTTTATCAGTCATTATATCCGGCACTGAATATTCAATTCAGATTTCCTTTTTCTCTCGCTCCCTATAAATATTGTATACATTTTCGTCAATCTTTGCGGTCGAAATAAATTTCAACGAGCATTTTATAAATATATTCATCCGAGAAAAGTCTATATTTCATCGTCTCTAATCGAGATATCCTACATATTTTAGTAGGATATCACACGAGAGAGCTATAATAGAATTTGTGCGATTCTACGTTGGAAACTTGTATTAGAGGTTCCCCCGGTGAAGGGAGGATCAACGCGTTAATACCACTCGTGCATGTTGTTGCGAATGGGATCCCACCATCATCCGCCACTAATCATCGGTACTGTCGTCGCGACAATCTGCCAAATATGCTTAATGTATCTTGGGTAGGATATCCCGTCTTTCAACTTCGAAAATCGCTCGAGGAACATTTTCAAGAGGATGAAAATAAAGAGAGGAGAGAATTTGGTTACAAAATACGTCGTTCGATCAAATTAGCTTCGTTAAAAAGAAATAAAGGCTTCTCGTTACGGCATATTTTCTTTCCCTGCCTTCAAGACCCTCCCCGGTGGTTTTCTAAAACCTAAAAACGCGCACAGTTCTCCCTTCACGCGACTCGCATTCCGCTTGCTTGAAATTCAAGCCGAAACCGCGATGAATCATATACTTATCGATTCAACAGGAGAGCCGCGACTACCGTCTCACATGCGATGTGAAACGGACGGAAAGACGCTCGCGTCTGGCATCACAAAGAACGTCTGGTCGTTCACCGGGAAAAGTCTCGTGCTGAAAACGAAGAATCGACACGTATCGTAATTTATTTAACGGCTGACCACGCCTCGCGCTCGTCGACCTCCGCGTCTAATTATAATTATACGTTCATACGATCTAATTATACGTCCTCCGTAATCGGAAATACCGCGTGCGAGGATAAATGTGAGCGAAGGGTGTCATTATCTCGTCGAATCGCGACGCGGTGAACATTTTTAACTATGTTGGATTGATAGAGAGCCCGCGTGAAACCTGTATAGTGCCCGCGTCTATTACCTCTAACAATATCATTTACCTCCATGAATCAGTTAGCTCGATGAAGCAACTAATCCTGGACGCGGAGCTTTTAAGGATTGAGAAATAGGCGCATCCTCTCGCGCGAAAAGTTGTCTCTAGTAAGCTGTCTCGCGTATACTAACTTCCGCGTATTACAATGCTTATAATGCGATTTCGTATGCATTACGTAAAATGTAAGCTGCGCCGCGTTGAATTGCATTTACATTTCGGCGAAAAAACTCGACGGCGAGAAGGAGGGAGGGGGAGGCGCCGTTTCCCACGAGAAATTTCGCCGATCTGTCAGACGCGACTATAACAAACTATCTTCATCGTCTCATCTTTCGTTTCTTCTACCTTCTTGCAGAGATACCGAAGAATGAATACAACAACAAGAATCAGTCTACGGGGAACAGTCCAATAAAGGTGGAGCTGCAGAACAACATGGACAGGTAAGGGTCGTACGTGCCGCGCTTTTACCGCGGTAATATTTTTCTTCTCCTTCTCTCTTCCTCGTTCTCTCTCTCTCTCTCTCTCAGACGGCGAATTGTGTCGTCCATGAATGAACTGAATCGAGGTGCGAGGTCGAAGAAACGCGTGTTTCGAAAACCTCGACAGACGGACGAGGCGATCGGTGGTTGATCGACTTCTGCGTCCTCTCCTGCTTCTTTCTTCGCGCCACTCGACGGATCCTCATGAATCATCTATTCAGGGGACGCGCACAATGAGTTAATGTTTGAGCGCGGATTGTCATCCCTCAAGGAAAAGACGTCCCTGCTCCGCGCGTGACTGCTCGCCGTGGAAAATCGCCGGTCCTTTGGGTCCTTGCGATGCATTCGCCACAGATCCTCGAGGAACGCTCTCTCTCGTTGAGACTCGCAAAACGGTCGCCGCGTATTTACGGAACCCGTAAACGAACTTCTTTCGGACGGGGACGCAACGGAATTTGGTATCCGAGCAATTCGAGGATTCGAGTCTCTCCGGACTTTCGCGTTATGCAAATTTGCTAAATGACATTAACGCGCGCTCGAAAGTTGGACGAATTATTTTCCAGGAATTAAATAAAGCGATATTGACTCAATACGAGATGGAAAAAGTAATTTGATAATAAGTAATGCTGAATTAGTAGCCGATTTGACATTTAATTGCGCGCAATAATAATATATTCTCGATAAAAAAGAATTTATTATCAAAAATTCGTCATTCCATGTTAAGGATGTTTTGTACCTATTTTCAAAATATTGAGAATTTAATGAAAATTATACCGAATGTCCTTACATATGTTTAGAATCTTCAGTACAATTTTTAAATCGATTCACTAAAGCGTTCACAAGTTATAAGGATTTTAGTTTGCACTAAATTAACATGTGTTCTTATGGGAAACGTATAACCACGTTGATTCAAATGACAAAAACACATGGAATTAATATACAGAATTTGTTTAAAATGTGCAAAAGTGTAGATACAGAGGAAATATTTGGTCAAATAATATTATACAAGTACTAATTAACAAGTACTGATTAAAAAGATATTAAATATAATTCAATGAAATGAGCCATGTATCTGTCACAAGGCGAAATTCTCTGCCAAAAGTTAATCATTTCGATTAACAAAATTCGGAATACTTCAGTAAAAACGCAATAATAAATATTCCACACAATTTCTTATATTCAAAATACATCAAAAGTGGTATATTCGTCAATATTGATTTTCAGCTACTTTTTGCTGGGATTGTACATACGGAACATCCTTAAAACTTGCGGTGAATGAAATGATTCACGATTGAACTATTTTTTTGATTCATTACGTTGCACTTACATCTCTATTAAAAGCTAAAACAACGAGATACGATGAAAATGTAAATGTGGCAAAACCAAAGAGTTGACGTTCAAAAACGCCGGATATTCCAATATTGAAACTTTGTAACGAATAAGTCAAATACTCGGTTAAACATTTCGACATCGGGCCGTGAAATAGGGAATTCCGAGACCTGGAAGTTTCACACGGAGAACTTCAAATCATCCGCTTTTATTTTGTTTGCGCGATAGGAAAAAAAAACTGCGCGTCCAATCCGCGTAGAATCAACAGCGGGAGCGAGGACGACGCGTCGCCTGGAGAGGACGGTAGACGCGCGGCGCGTCTGCTTCTCGTTTTTTTCATTATCAGGTGCAACGAAAGCAAACGCGCTCTCCCGCCCGCGCTTCAGAATCCGTCGGTTGCGTTTAAATATTTTGGTTAGACATTTGTGAGTTACTTGGAAGCGGCGATGGCGGCAACCGTTCGCTACAAACACACTCGAGGGCTCCTGCTTTTCTATGGGGGTATGTAACGAGCGAGAATACATTGCGAGTTTCTCGAGTCTCTCTTCGACCACAAGGGAGAGGGAGAGAGAGAGAGAGAGAGAGAGGGAAAAGCAACTCTCTACTATAGCGAAACTCCGAGAGTTCGAGCGAATGTGCTTGAAAATTGTACTGAAGTGCCGAATTCCTCGACGGTGTTTCTCTAATTACAACGGCGCATCGAGAAATTATGTAACACCGTGTAATGGTTCGACTCGAACCGCTGTCCGTGTAACTTTTCGGATAAAACAACGGGATAAAGATTAATCTCTGACCGCTAACGAGCGGGCGGATAATCGTTAATGACGACGCGTATTCCTGACGGAGCCTGCTACCGGTGAAGAGAAGAAAGATGGGAAGGCAGGGGAGGGAGTGGGAGAAACCGAAAATTTAAATGCGCAGCCATAAATCGGCCTTCATCGATTTTCAGGGTACCTTTACCTTACGGGCACGCCCCGTCGATGATCCCGATGAGGAGACAAAGCATCCGCTGTCATTTCCGCAAGGGAATCGATTGGTGCAGCTGGAAACTAATTGCCATAGTAGTAATTATGCTCTCGCTCTGCTTGACCGCGGCATTAACCTACGTCGCAGGTAATTATTCGCATATTGCATTCCATGCCATTTCTGTACCTTTCTTTGTTTTATCAGTTATCTCTCTTGTATATCAGACATATAATTCTATATAAGAAAATTATAGGACAAATTTAAGACTTCCATTTAAGATATGTTATATTTAAGCAACAACCTGATATCATCAAAAATATCTCAAGCTTATAAACATCTATCATCCGATTCTTTTGTTGTCCATGAAATAATTTTAGAACAATACGAGATGAAACGTAATAACAAGACGCTTTCCAAACTAACACCTTACCAATCCTAATTGATTTCTCATTAAGCGTCCAATTTAGTGAACTGGTCGTACCAAGGCTCCAAGGCGTGCACGGTCCTGGTAGGCGAGAACACAGATGCGAAACCGTCGTCGAGCGAAGCGAACAAGACGTCCACGTCGTCCACTTCAACGACGTCGCAATCGGGCGGCAAGACGCGGCAGCCATCATCGTCAGGAGGTAGTATTAGCACGTCGGATAGCATGTTGCTAGATGGTGTCGTATACAGCCGTAAGCGTAGGGAAGCGTTTAATGAGCATGCATTGCACCAAACTGTCGCGCTGCCACCCCCTCGTGACCCCGAGGAGCCGTCCTTGATTCCGACCGCCCTTGAGGCTGAGACCTCGGGGTTCGAGCAGCGATCAGTCCCGTTGCATGACAAGTTCCCCGGTAAAGTTGTGCATGATTCGGAGCATGCGGATGGTCCAGGTCCGGCGAAGGAGGCTGTCGACCGTTCGATCGAAGCTAACGAGGTCACCGAGGAGTCGCTTGTTGTCAATGTCTCCGCCACTACTACTAATTACTCGCACGATCATACAACTCACATCACTGTCGCTGATCATCTCTCCTCTTCGTCCTCTGTCTCTGTCGGCTCTGGTCGTTCTTCCGCGTCGACCTCCGAATTCAGTCGCGAGTCGCCCGACGACGAGGCGTCCGCCACGACGTCCTCGTGGCTCCCCGAAATTTTTCCGGTCGTCGACAAAGACGCCGTTGATGCGCTCGAGAAATCGGCGACGCGAGAAGAACACGTTGTAATGAAAGCCCCGAACTCGAAACTTGTCCGCGATGACTCCGCGGATTTCGACCGCGACACCGATAACGCCAGCATGTCCGAAAGTTCGGACATTGGCGAAAGCGGTACCGAAGCTACGACGTCTGCATCCGACGCGGAGTCCGCGAAACTTGGCGCAGATAGCAGCGATTACGACCGAGTAGTTGGCGGAACTATAGAAAATGACAGCAACGTTTCCCCCGTCGATTATAACGGTAATATAGATGTTGCCGATACCATTGTAGAAGCTGTAACAGAGGTGCGCTCGATTGAACTAACGGAGGATCAAGGATCGAACGTAAGTAATTTCAATACGAGTGAACAGTTAGTTTCTGTAGAAATGGATCGAAACAAGGTAGACGCTAGCACTGTTTCGTCTAATGTAAACGATGAAGAAACGACATTTCGTGCATTGTTAAGTAACGATGAGAAAATCAAAGAGTCTGAGGAACATAGAATCAAGATTGAAGGTGAGCACGATAAATCTAAAGAAGAAATTATCTCGGACGAAAACAATGGATCAGCTGTCTTTACGGAGGATATCTCAAAGACAATAAATATGACCACGAAATCAATAAAATCTCAGACGTCGGACATTGTGAAAGAAACACGAGAGCTTTCCCAGGAAAGTTCGTCGTCCGAGTCCGAAGCCTCATTCAATATCGTTAACCCTCCTGAACAGTCCGAAGAACTTCAGAAAGACTATCCCCTACCGATCTATAGCTATGGACAAGACGAGATAGAGATTGTCGATCTTCATCGTAAGAAGCAATCGATCGGAAAAGCAAAAAATCCTACTAAAACATCTGAAATTCTTGATAACAATGTAAAGATGAAAGTCGTTTCCCGAGAGAGTCGTCAAAATAAAGACGATGTACGAATCATCACGAGAGAAGAGAGCGACGACGAGTTGCTTCGGAAGTTTAAAGAGAAGTTCCACGAAGCGGCTGTCGATGCTAACGAACCCGTTGAAAATTCCTCGTTAATTAGAACCAATTATAATTCACCTCCAACGAGTACTCTGCATGAAACGGTGCATGATTCATCGGGCAACGCGTCACCCAGGTTCCCCTCTAATACGGACCATCTGTCTAATTCACCGATCACTCAACGAGTACAGATCATAGAGGTGCCCGTGTATCGCGACGCTCATTCCGGCCCATCATCGTCTTCATCATCATCGTCACCGCATCGAGTGCTCATAAACGTAACGATCGCTGCCGAGAATCCATCTGCCGCTTCTTCGAGGCCGCTGTACGTCCTCTCGGTATCGGTGCCGACCGAGGACGGCCATTCGTCCGGGATTAACATCGATCAAGCGCAGGTGCCGCCTGCAGCGAGCATGAAAAAAATCCCTGCTAAGGATGCCGAATCGATAAGCGTGGTCGATACGCGATTACCGCCACCGCCGCAACCACCTGCTTCGCCTCCGGCGCCCATCTGGGCCGGTGGTGAGTGCGAGTGCTCCTGCCCGTGCATGGGCTCGTCCTCTGATGAATGGGACAATTTTTCAGCGATCGATGACAATCTGGAACAAGAGCTCGAGAGCGTTAATGCCACTATGTTGGACGACGAACTCCTAGAATCGGGAGAGAAATCGGCGGACGGAAGAGAGCAAGATACGGAATCAGCGGTGAAAGATTCGGCGAAGATCAATGCGACGATTTCCACCACCGAAAACTATTATCTCTCGACGATGGACGACCTTGCTAAGAATAGCGAATCAATCGATGGGAGCTCCACTTCAACTTACGAGCCAGAAGTAAGCACCGATCCGTGGGTTTGTTCGGGGAGCACCGCACTCCCCCCCGAGCCTACTATACTGATCCTTGAAGGTGAGGCCACGTTTACGATTGTTTCTCTCTTTCTCTTTCTTTCTTTGTTTCCTTTTTTTTTTCTCTTCTTCTTTCTTGTCTCATTTTTTTCCAAGACAGTTCTTTTCAAACATGTTTACTTTCTCTCTTTCGTTAATGCTCACTTTTTTGCTTATTGTTTACCCATGGATTTATCAAATGCAAATTTACCTCTATTGTAGTGATTAATTGTACTGTAGTATTGTGGTGATTGTAATGTGCTTTGTGATAGTGGGTAGCATTATTTAGATAACGTAGATTGGTGTAGTAGCGACATAATTTTAAGTCCATTCCTGTGCACGAAATGTCACAATTAAATAGCCGTTATCTAGCGATTACACCGATTATACCGATAATGTTTCACAAGAATAATCGATAATCAATATTATATTTTCAGAAAAAAATTAGTAATTGTCGATCCAATGTATTGCGAGAAATAACTGAATGTACTGTGAGAATTAATTAAAAGTATGAATCAAATAATACATTTAAAAATGAGAGAAAAAGATGTAACACTCATAAAGTGCCAAACACGCATAAGCATTCATCCATTAGATCTGAAAACATTTCAGCTTCAGTCGGGTAACGTAATCTTGATGCCTCGTTAACATAAATTAATGCCAATTTTTTTTTTTTTTAAGAAATCAGCTGTTCGATACAATCTGTCACAATTTGGCCAACATAAATTACTTGATCATAGATGATTTAATTAATTGTACTAAAATCGCTAAAAATAATTCAAACTTACATTACCCGGCAGAAGGTCAAGTACGATTGTGCGCCGTTTTTCTAATCAAGACGAATGGATCCGCAGGTGCGCGAACTTTCCCGGCGCGGTCTTTCCCGCCAGACGGGACGACCTTCGCCCAGGTCAGTTTAGGACAGAAGCTCAGCAAGGAGATACCGCCGTACGGCTACTGGAACATGCAGTTTTATCAATCGGAGGCCGCCTACGTGCGTTTCGACTACAGCATCCCGCGCGGTGCCAGCATCGGCGTATACGCGCGAAGGAACGCGCTGCCCACGCACACGCAGTACGATCTTCTGGAGGTTCTCAGCGGCTTCAAGGCTCGGACCACCAGGGCGTCCCATGTTAGTGTTATTGTATGTGCCGCTGCCCTATTTTTATTTCACTCTTTTACATAAAGTCTTGATAGTCTCTGGTAGACTATTTTTTTCATTTTTTTTCTCGCCCCCTAGTTGAACAACAATCGAACGTGCAGTTCTGGTCAGATAATAAATTCACGTTTTCTTCACAGCCTTCGATTAAGAAGGAGGTAACTCAGTACATGGAGCCAGGGCACTGGTTCCTGTCGCTTTACAACGACGACGGAGATCCCCACGAAGTCTCGTTTATTGCTGTGATTGCCGAGGATATGACGCATAACTGTCCGAACGGTTGCAGTGGCAAAGGCGAATGTCTCTTAGGTCATTGTCAGTGCAATCCTGGTTTTGGTGGCGAAGATTGCAGCGAGAGTGTCTGCCCTGTTCTTTGCAGTCAAAGAGGTGAATTTATTTATTTTATCGCCGAAAGATATTTCTATCAAAAATTCTTGAATAACCGTCTTTTATTCCTTTAACTGTGTATCCGTGAATATTAAAAATAATTTACATATTTATTTTTTTAAAATATATTTTCTGATATGTTTATTTATGTATCATATATTTATTATTATATTATTGCAGAAATATTGAGAAATTCGCGATAATAGGATTCAGTCGTTTGGTTGAAATAATATTAAATTGAAAAATCCGTATTGGAATTTTAATAAACTTCAAAAATTGGTTATTGGTTACGAGTTTAATTAAAATCCCATTGAAATAGAAAGAAATAATGATTGGGAAGTTTTTTAACCGATTAAAAAAACCAAGCGCCTGTTACAGCTTTGTATATTGATTTCTTTTAAATAGAAATCAAAGCCGATTATACATTTCACTTGCTTTGATATTGCATTTTTGCAAATAGTCGTGATACATGCTAATTTTTTGATGCTCAACGTACCAATTTTTTTCTCTCAGTGCTCTGGATATGGCAAGATATGTGTGTCTATATTTACGAAATAAAATAAAGTCGAATTGGAAAGTAGAATACAACAATAACTCAATGCAATTTCATGACTTCGGAATCAAATTGAATTGCGAGTATTTTGCGTATAGACAAGATTTCTCAGCGGCGATTGCTGCACCGTCGAGTTTCAATTGTTAAAAGTTTCCGTTCGAAAACAACTTTGCGAGTTTCTCGCACGCGCGTAAATAATTCCATGTCAAATAATCCCATCGTGTCGATTTAGGGGAGTACATAAACGGCGAGTGCCAATGCAATCCCGGCTGGAAGGGCAAGGAGTGCTCCCTGCGACACGACGAGTGCGAGGTGCCCGATTGCAACGGCCACGGCCACTGCACCAACGGTAAATGCAACTGTGTACGCGGCTACAAGGGGAAGTATTGCGAAGAGGTTGACTGTCCACATCCGACTTGCTCGGGCCACGGTTTTTGCGCCGAGGGCACGTGCATCTGTAAAAAGGGTTGGAAGGGAGCTGATTGCAGTCAAATGGACAAGGAGGCATTGCAGTGCCTGCCAGACTGCAGCGGTCATGGAAATTTCGATCTCGAGACCCAGACCTGCCTCTGCGAGCCCATGTGGTCTGGTGATGATTGCTCGAAAGGTGAGATAACAAATTAACAAACGTAATTATAGTTTATGAGCGGACATCTATATATATTGAGCATTTTGTGCAAAAAAATAATTTCAATTTTTTGCTTGTTCGTATCAAAATTTTTATCTTAAATACAGAAAAATTACATTTGTCGATTCTATCTTATATAAATTAAAATTTTATTTTTTTATATTTTTCTTTTTTATTTTTTATATTTTTCATTTTTCTTTTCGATAACAATTATTTTATATATTGCCTGCTTATAAATTTTTATACTTTTTAAATAATTATAATAATTACGCGTTTCTCAGAATTACAGATAAATATTCGTATCAATATTTATTAATATTAATTTAGACATCTATAAGCACGATATATATAGAATTGATTTAAAGATATCGATCGATATGCTCATATTCTTATTTCGTACCTTCGTAAACTGATGATTCCTGTGTTCCAGGTGTCAGAAAGATGGCGAGAAAATTTACGAAGTAATTTTCACAGTCTCTTGATTATAATGATCCTTTCATAGCTTTATTCACTTGTCAGACGATCGTTGCTTTATTCCCGGCTTCTGAGTGTCGTTTCGAAACTAACACACTCGCGTACTCTCAGATGAATCAGTCGCTTTTACAGCTTCCCGCTTCGCTGTGTTTCAGAACTGTGTGATCTCGATTGCGGCCCTCACGGACACTGCGTGGACAACGCTTGCGACTGCTTGCCAGGCTGGTCCGGCGAGCTTTGCAATCTGAAGCAATGCGACCCTCGTTGCAACGAGCACGGACAATGCAAGAATGGCACGTGTCTATGCGTCACCGGATGGAACGGAAAACACTGCACGATGGAGGGATGTCCGAATTCTTGTTCCGGCCATGGACAGTGCAGGGTGTCGAATGACGCGCAATGGGAGTGTCAGTGTTACGACGGTTGGGACGGCAAGGACTGCAGCGTACTTTTAGAGCAGAACTGCAACGATGGACGAGACAATGATAAAGGTACATGTTCCAATATAAATTTATCTATTATAATGATTCAGTAGAAGAAGACCGTTAATTATACTCGTATATATTATATATATAATATTTATTAAATATATAATCCACACATTTTATTTGTTAAAATCAAGACATTAAAAATACTAGAGACTGAAATAAAATGTAAATTGAAATTTTAGACAATTGCTTATAGTTGGATTATTTATTCGAAATTAAATACTTCTAATTAAAACATTCATCAGTGTAAATGTACCCTTTTTTCTGCGATCTTAATGGAGAATAATGGGACTTTCAGATGGTCTCATTGATTGTGCCGATCCGGAATGTTGCTCCAATCACATATGCCGCAGCAGCCAGCTGTGCGTCTCAGCGCCCAAGCCAATCGATATATTGCTACGGAAACAGCCACCCGCCATTACTGCTTCCTTCTTCGAGAGAATGAAGTTCCTAATCGACGAGGGCAGTCTGCAGAACTACGCTCGTCAGGAGACCTTCAACGAGAGGTAAGTTCGGCGTCGATCGTCGCGAGACTTTCCCCTCTCGTCCTTGCGACCATGTCGTCGTCATGATCCTCGTCGTCTCCGCGTTGAAATCGTTAGCGAAAATTGTCCGTCCCAATGTCGATGTTGCGTCTACAGTCTGCGTGTCTCTGAATAAAGAAGTAGGAAAATAGGAGATTTCAACACACATGCGCGATCAGGAGAAAATGGCAGCATTAAATAGGAATACATTAATACATTGCTATACGCGATATTACTTGTGTTCACCATGCTCCCTTTACATATGGATTTCTTGAACAATATGGAACAACTTTTTCTTGGCAAAAGTTTTATTAAATGCTTTCTATTGAGATTTATATAAAAATTTGATTGACTCGAAATCCAATTTCTGAGATGTTGAATATCTTATAAATCAGAAACTCTACTATAAAGCCTTAACATTTATATTTTATTGAAATCACATCTATATTCTAAATTAAACAAAAGATTCCTATGTGACAAAGGAAGTGGAGAATGGAGAACCAGCGAAAACCTGTGAATCGCGAAGGTCGAGAAAGTTGCATGCTCGATGGAACAACTAAAGGTTATTAATAATACGAGTACAATCCCTTTGACTCGAACCGAATCGGTTGAAAGATTAGTCGGACAAAGCCGATCGATCTCTATTTTTAACTAAAGCGGGAAGAAACGCGCACACATAGGAGGATCCTAGCTTTTCTCGCAGGGATCCGATAATCTTTATAGCTGCCTTTGCGCGCATATTACAAGATACACGCATATCCTTGTATATCTCTCTCTCTCTCTCTCTCTTTTTTTCTCTCGCAGTACACGTGTATTACAGACAGAGTATAGACACGAGGATGCATATACATAGATTTCAATATATTATATCTGCGTTGTTGTGACCCGTGTGAAATCACATCCCAACAGTTTTCTACATATGTTTTGTACGTACGTGTGCGCGAGCGTGTATCCTGCACTAACCCTTTCCCTCCCTCCCTCTCTCTTTCTCTTCCTCCTCCCCTTCTCCACCATCCACATCCATATATAATATCTTTCTCTTTCTATCTTTCTCTCTCTTCTTCATTCTTTCTCTATTTACCCCAGAGTCTTTATCGCAATCCCTTACGACCTATCTCTATTGGTACATCAATCCAAGTCCCGTTCTTTCGATTCTTTCTCTTTTTCTCTTTCTCATGTCCGTCCGAGTGGAGCTTGCGTGAATGTGTGAGTTCATGTTTAAGCCTCGAGCTTTTCGCTCATCATACTGACTAAGGGGGAGGGAAGGGGTTATATACAATAACCGGACAGTTTTTTTCTCCCCGATGCGTCAGGTTCCATCGGAAGGGACCAGCAAATTCTAGTAATCCCGAGACGCGACATATCGAAATTCTTCGTAAAAGCGAAAAGTTTTTCCTCAGACTCCTCTATATTTTTATTCCCACCTTTGGAAATCCTTTGCTACTTTTTTCTCTCTCTTTCTCTTTTTCTTTCGACCTCCCATGCATCCTTGACCTCTCGTCCTCGATCCTGCAATCTCCTTCTTCTATTTTCGCCTTTAATCGCATCATTTTAACTCGGCTCTGTTTTATCCGTGCTGCCCGGTCAGTATGTTCTGGAATCACTTCAATACAAGGTAAGAAAAACCAGACGTCGATAAAGCTCGACTAAATGAACGAGGATCCGTAATAAGATCCATCGTAACAGTAATAAAGAACCTGCTGCTGTTTGATAATATTTTCGTGCATTTGATATCTCTCTCACGTATGTGTACATAAATACATCCTGCATCCTGATCACGACGAGCCGTGCGTGTGTGCATTCGACTGTGCTCGAGAAGTTTGACCTCATTCGATTTCATTGAATCTCGGTCTCTCTCTCTCTTTCTCCTCCGATCATGTATTTCTCCACCTCGCATTTATATTATATCGGTTGTTCCCAAAATGATGGAAAAAGCCAAATCGTAGATTTATGATTGTGAGAAAGAAACCTTTCTCATTAATATCGATGGCATATCGATCAAAGTTTTTTTTTTATGAATCCTTGAGAGCAATGAATGTTAAAAATGAGGTGGGTGCGATATACATGATCTAAGAGTCTCTATGTGAACAGTTGGAACACATTCCACGATCGTTCGAACTCGCACTTTGTCCTCCATTATTGTTGAACACATTCTCGTGTTGCATGGTTCAGTTACCTTTTGATTCCTACGTTGTGTTTCGTGCCTTTTACGTTGAGCTTCCGACTTTGTGTTATTCGTGTGTATGTATATATATATATATATATCGACTATACATATATAAGTAGAGTGATTTGTCCTCGACCATAAAACGCTCCAGTGCCAAAGAGGCACGATTATGAAGGTTCGATTATCGTATTCCGTTGTTCGTTCGAGAAAAACGAGGCAACTATATGACGTTTATAGTGACGGAGAGATCATCTGAAACATCGCGATGAAAATAATGCAACGATTACGTTCGTCGTTATTCGTGCAGCGATAAACAATCAAAAGAGTCGAGTGGTCCCTCTTTAGCACTGAGAAGCAGAATTGACGAAAGTACGTCGCGTTGAATATTCATGGCGTATTTGCATACGCGATTGGCGATCGATACCCGGTATCGAGATACTTATTAACCGGCGAAAGAATGCTGTCACATGTAAATGGACGCGCATTATCCGAGATGCAAATTTACCTCGATTACTTCTGTCTTTTTAAACGCTCGAGAAAACGGCACTTTGCGTATAATTATAGCGATCCCCCCCCCCATCATGGGCATTGATTTGTCAATAATTCCAGGATCTATTTTCAAAGCCATCTGAATCCATAGCTAAATATTGTATAAGATTTCCCCTATTCCAATTTTGTTATCACGTTAATTTAATAAATTTAATTTTCACATATGATCCACGATATATTAAAAGTCTCATTATAATTGTATTATACTTATTATAAATAAGTAATTAATTTTATCTGTCTCTATTTTTTATTTTTTACAAGACTTTTAAAATGGATATTATATCTATGATGTTTTTATTTTTAGCATTAAACACATTTAACCCCCATAGCAAAAAAAGTCACAGTGATATCACAATAATATGTCACAATGAAATCACAACAAAGTCATGGTGACATGCAAATGTCCGCTTTGTCACAAGTGTGATATCACTATGACATCATTGTAATATTATATAAAATGTTATTGTGAGGTAATTTACACACACACATCCAGCAAAATGATCTAACACACACACACACACACACATACACACGTGTGTGTGTGTGTTTTTTTAAAAATAAATTTAATTTATTCCATGATCTACATTTTTGGTTTTTTAAATATACATACACATGTATATTTAAAAAACCAAATATATATATATACATATATACATATGTATGTATATTTAGAAAATCAAAAATGTAGATCATGGAATAAATTAAATTTATTTTAAAAAATATATATAATTACCTCACAATAACATTTTAATATTACAATGATGTGACATCACACTTGTGACAAAGCGGACATTTGCATGTCACCATGACTTTGTTGTGATTTCATTGTGACATTTAATTGTCGCAGAACAATATCGTATATAACATCACTGTGACTTGTTTTGCTATGGGGGAACTGTCTCACAAACATCCCATTAGATCTCGTTATCAAGTGACAGTATCTCTTTTCGTCGGCATATATTCACTCTAAAGAAAATTTCTAAGGACTGTGAACAGTAAAACAGTAGTAGATTGAGATTAGTCTAGAGAATAGCGGTTGCTTTGTTGGTAGTGTACGACGAAGCACACAAAGAAATGATCCTATTCGAATTTTTCTGCGAGTAACACGATCGTTGTCTAACAGCCGATCGGCCGTCATACGCGGCCGCGTCGTTACCCATCTCGGCACGGGACTCATGGGAGTGCGGGTCAGTACCAGCACACCGCTGGAAGGCTTCACCCTTACGAGAGATGACGGCTGGTTCGATCTATTGGTGAACGGCGGCGGTGCCGTAACTTTGCAATTCGGTCGATCTCCCTTCAAGCCACAGAGTCATATCGTCTTCGTGCCTTGGAATGAGGTAAATTTCAATTAATCACTGTATTCGAGTTCTAATTGCCCAGGTAGAACATGAAACTCATAATGACGTCATCACGATTTTATTTATCACTTAAAAGTTACCTAAACAAAAATGATTAAAAAATGAGTTAAAGATGACAAAAAGAATCATAAATGTTCAAGTTCAATAATCGCATTATATAATTTTAAAAAGATTATGTTGCTTAAACATAATTAAAATATACATGAATAATTAAATAAACAAATAATTGCGTAATATATATATAAAAAATGACATTAATAAGTCACCAAAACATTGCCAAAAGTGTATCAAATGAGATCATTATGATTTCTCTAAAATGACTTTTGGGTATGGTGACGTCATAATGTCATTGTGAGTTTCATGTTCTACCTGGGTGAAAAGACTGAATCAGCCAAAACTAGCGGAACTTTTTAACCAAGTTAAATTTCGCGATAAAGTGAATTACTTAATAATATCTTTAGAATGTATGATTAAGTTTATTATCTCTTCTAGAGTAGCTTGTAAAATGTATGTGTTTCGCTCCAGGTCGTCATAATCGACAAAATTGTTATGAGCACTGCCGAGGAGAAGCCGCCCGTTCATGTTCCACACGCATGCGCCGCTCACGATTACGATCTGATGAAGCCTGTCGTCCTGGCGACCTGGAAGCACGGGTTCCAAGGAGCCTGCCCGGATAAGAGCGCCATTTTGGCGGAGTCTCAAGTTATACAGGAGAGCTTGCAGATACCCGGAACAGGCTTGAATCTAGTATATCATAGTTCGCGAGCGGCCGGTTATCTCTCGACCATACAACTGCAGCTGACTCCGGAAGTCATACCAGCGACCTTGAATTTGATACATTTGAGAATCACGATCGAGGGTATACTGTTTGAGAAGACCTTCGAAGCCGATCCAGTGATCAAGTTCACCTACGCATGGAATCGCTTGAACGTCTACCGCCAACGCGTCTACGGAGTTACGACTGCTATGGTGAAGGTTGGCTATGAGTACAGCGATTGCAAGGACATTATCTGGGATGTGCAAACGACGAAGTTGAGCGGTCACGACATGTCCATCTCGGAAGTCGGCGGTTGGAACTTGGACATTCATCATAGATACAACTTCCACGAGGGTATTTTGCAGAAAGGAGACGGCTCAAATATTTATCTGAAACATAAACCGAGAGTTATTCTCACCACGATGGGAGATGGTCATCAGAGACCGTTGGATTGTTACGATTGCGACGGGCAAGCTTCCAAGCAGCGTCTCTTAGCGCCCGTTGCTCTTGCCACTGCAGCAGACGGCTCCATTTTTGTCGGTGATTTTAATCTAGTCAGGAAGATTCTCGTCGATGGAACAGTCAGAACTGTAGTCAGATTAAAGTATGTAATTGATATCGATTAATTTTACGCAATAACTTCTTACAACTCTTTGGATTCTTCTAAAACCTTTTATAATTTTTTTTTAACTTTATATTTTTATTCTTTCAGTGCAACGAGGGTATCATATCGTTATCACATCGCTCTGAGCCCGCTGGACGGCGTTCTCTATATATCGGATCCGGAATCTCATCAAATCATTCGCGTACGCGACACCAACGACTACACGGATCCCGATCATAACTGGGAGACAGTAGTCGGTTCCGGGGAACGTTGTCTTCCTGGCGACGAAGCTCATTGTGGCGATGGTGCGCTGGCACGAGACGCTAAACTCGCTTATCCCAAGGGCGTTGCCGTCTCTGCCGATAATGTCTTGTACTTTGCCGATGGCACAAATATACGAATGGTCGACAGAGACGGTATTATCACCACCGTGATTGGTAATCATATGCACAAATCGCACTGGAAACCCATACCTTGTGAAGGAACGTTGAACGTCGAAGAGGTTCATCTACGCTGGCCGACCGAACTGGCGATCAATCCTCTGGACAATTCGCTGCACATGATCGACGATCATATGGTTCTCCAGCTGGCCCCGGATGGTCGTGTCAAGGTCGTTGCCGGTCGTCCACTTCACTGCGCCTCTCCGTCAGCCTCGTTTGACACGGAACTCGCGACTCACGCCACTCTTGTGATGCCACAGAGCGTTGCATTCGGTCCATCGGGCGACCTTTACATCGCCGAGAGCGATTCCCAGAGGATCAATCGCGTTCGTGTAATCGGGACTGACGGCAAGATCTCACCGTATGCTGGTGCTGAGTCCAAGTGCAATTGCCTGGAGCGCGGTTGCGATTGCTTCGAGGCCGATCACTATCTGGCATCCACCTCCAAGTTTAATACTATATCCGCTGTGGCGGTTTCACCCGACGGAGTAGTGCACATTGGCGATCAGGCTAACTATCGCATTCGTTCGGTGACGGCGAGCATTCCTGACGCGAGCGGTGCGCGAGAATACGAGATTTACGCACCTGATACGCAAGAAATCTACGTATTCAATCGGTTCGGCCAGCACATTGCCACGAAGAACATTCTGACCGGCGAGACTGTGTATCTCTTCACATACAACGTTAACACTAGCAATGGTAAGCTCAGCACTGTGACGGACGCGGCTGGCAACAAGGTCTTTTTGTTAAGAGACTACAGCAGCCAAGTGAACTCGATCGAAAATACAAAGGGACAAAAATGTAGACTAAGAATGTCCAGAATGAAGATGTTGCACGAACTGAGCACGCCCGATAATTACAACGTTACTTTCGACTATCACGGACCCACTGGTTTGCTGAAGACAAAGCTCGATAGTACCGGCCGCAGTTATGTTTACAATTATGATGAATTTGGCAGACTGACCAGCGCAGTGACACCCACAGGCAAAGTGATCAGCTTGACTTTTGATCTTAGCCTGAAAGGCGCCATAGTCAAAGTTGGACAGAACAACAGAAAGCCCATCTCGATGTTGATCAAAGGATCGTCTGTTGTCACGAAGGTCGGAGAGGCCGAGCAAAGGACAACAGTTCTCGCCGATGGCTCGGTTGGAAGAGTAACGCCATGGGCTCACACCGTCAGCACCGATAGTATGCCGTACTCGATTCTGGCTGAAATCGAACCTCTATTAGGTGAAAGCTATCCCGTGCCGGCTAAACAGAGAACAGAGATCGCTGGCGATCTGGCTAATCGTTTCGAGTGGCGATATTTCCTCCGAAAGATTCAAGGAAATAAAAATCGCGGAAACTCGAAGGCAATCGCTCAGGTCGGCAGGAAGCTCCGAGTCAATGGCGAGATCCTGCTGTCTCTCGAATATGATAGGGAAACAAACACTGTGGCTGTGTTTATGGACGACCGGGTAGAACTGTTGAATGTTACATATGATAGAACCGCTAGACCCGTTAAATGGGGACCGAGAAATGGCATCTTTGCTGGTGTTGAATTGGAATATGATCGATTCAGCAGACTGATTAGTTGGACGTGGGGCGACATCAGCGAAACATATGGCTTTGACAGAGCAGGTCGATTGTACGAGATAAAGTACAGCGATGGTACGTCAATGGTGTATGCCTTCAAAGACATGTTTAGCAGTTTGCCGCTGAAGGTCACTACGCCACGTGGAAGCGATTATCTTCTTCAATATGACGAGGCGGGAGCATTGCAATCACTGACTACTCCGAGAGGACACATCCATACATTCTCTCTTCAAACGTCTCTCGGATTCTACAAATATCAATATTACTCGCCGATGAACAGACATCCATACGAGATTCTTTACAATGATGACGGTCAGATTCTTGCCAAGGTGTATCCTCATCAAAGCGGAAAAGTTGCTTACGTCTATGATCATGCTGGAAAACTCGAAACTACGCTTGCCGGTAAGTATTAATTACTGTAAAATAATATATCTTTATTTCTTCTCCTTAATTAAATTTTACTACGTGTGATTAAGAAAAAAACATTGTTGACTTATAAACATAAAATTATTAAAGATATAATTAAAAATTGCAAATATTTTGTATAGGATTGTCCTCAATACACTACACCTATCAAGAAACAACCAGTCTAGTGCGCAGCATCGACATCAACGAACCAAACTTTGAGATGCGTATCGAATACAAATACCATGCTGGCATTGTAAAGGACGAGAAGATCAAGTTTGGCAGCAAGAGTGGCATGGATAACGCTCATTATCGTTATCAGTACGATGGTAATGCGCGTATATCCGGCATCGAAGTCGACATTAACGGCAAACAACTGCCTCAGCTTCGTCTCAAATATAACCAGAATCTTGGTGTGCTAGAAGGCGTTGGTGATCTCAGGATATACAGAAATCTCTTTAATCGATCAGTTATGCAAGACAGCAGCAAACAATTCTTCACGGTCACAGATTATGACGAGCACGGTCGCGTTAAGACGGTGCTGATGAACATCCGATCCTTCGACGTGTTTCGCATGGAACTCGAGTACGACAATCGCAATCGCATCAAGATGAGGAAGCTCACGATCGGGAAGGAGTCCATGGAGAAGAAGGAATGGTCTAGAATGGAGAAGATTACGTATAATGCTGACGGTCATGTGCTCGAGGTAGCGGATACCGAGAATAATTGGCAATATGCATACGATGAAAATGGTAATGTAATTGGCGTGACCGAGCACAATGAGAAGATCGTCTTGGGCTATGATAGTGGTGATCGAGTGGCCCAGTACGGTGACGTTGAATTTAATTCATACGATGGACGCGGTTTCGTCGTGATTCGTGGCGAGCATAAATATAGGTAAGCTTTTTCCCAAATTAAGAGGTATATCTGTAAGATCTAATTAATTGTTATTAAAATAATTAAATATATATATGGAATAGTATTTTGTATGTACAAAAAATCCATTTTCTCGCAGCGAATTTTGCGGAGTTATTTTAGTTTTTTTTTTTTGTTGAACAACATTAATCTAAAAATACTATATTGTAATAGATATATATATTAAAAATATATATTATTAATTTTCTTTCCTCCAGGTACAACTCACGCGGTCAGCTGATTCATGCGTCGGAGCACAAGAAATTCCAAATTTGGTACTTCTACGATGATCGCGGTCGACTGGTGTCGATGAACGACGACCGAGAAAATATCACTCAATTCTTCTACGCGAATCCAAAAACTCCGGATCTGATAACGCATGTGCATTTCCCGAAGTTGTCCAAAACATTCCGATTCCTTTACGATTCGCGCGACTTCTTGATGACCGTGGAGACATCCGAGCAACGGTTCTACGTCGCAACAGATCAAAATGGTTCGCCTCTCGCTCTTTTCGATACCAATGGCAATCTTATCAAAGAGATGCGACGCACGCCGTTCGGCAAGATTATCAAGGATACCAATCCGGACTTTTATTTGCCTATCGATTTCCATGGTGGTCTCTTCGATCCCAATACCAAGTTGATCTATTTAAACAAGAGGCTTTACGATCCAACCGTTGGTCAATGGATGACGCCTGCTTGGGAACAAATGGCCAACGAGCTCACCACTCCGACCGACATATTCATCTATCGTTTCCGCAATAACGATCCGATCAACTTTAAGCAAAACGTCGAGTACATGACGGATCTGGCGAGTTGGCTGAAACTCTATGGCTACGACATTTCAACTATGCTTGGTTCTGAATACACAAAGCAGATGGTGTATCAACCGAGCGCCATCGTCACGTCTCCGCAACTGACTCCGGACTTTGGCGTAATGTCCGGTCTGCAATGCATCGTAAATCGCGTGCAAGAGAAGTTCTCCGATCTTGGTTTCGTGCCCAAGCCGTTGCTGAAGCTGGAACCGAAAACGCGAAACCTATTGCCGCGGGTGGCCCATCGTCGGGCAGTTTTCGGCGAGGGTATTCTAGTATCGCGCGTTGGTGGTCGGGCTCTGGTGAGCGTAGTAGACGGCGTGAACAGTGTAGTGCAAGACGTGGTCACATCCGTGTTCAACAACTCGTACTTCCTGCCGCTGCATTTCAGCGTGCACGATCAGGACGTCTTCTATTTCGTCAAGGATAACGCGCTGAAGATCCGCGATGATATGGAGGAACTTCATCGGCTGGGCGGGATGTTTAACGTATCCACGCACGAGACGACGGAACACGGTGCCGGCACGTGGAAGGAGTTGAGATTGCACAATCCGGACGCAGCGGTGGTCATCAAGTACGGGGCCGATCCTGAACAGGAGCGGCACCGGATTCTGAAGCACGCGCACAAGCGTGCCGTCGAACGCGCCTGGGAGATCGAGAAGCAATTGGTAATGGCCGGTTTCCAGGGTCGAGGCGACTGGTCTAAGGAGGAGAAGGACGAGCTCATGAGTCGCGGCACCGTCGACGGCTACGAAGGCGTCGATATCCACAGCGTGCATAGGTATCCCCAGCTCGCCGACGATCCTGGTAACGTCGCGTTCACCCGCGACACCAAGAGGAAGAGGCGGAAGAGCGGCAACAGGCGCAACAGAACTCACCGGCACGACTCGTGATTCGAGGACGCCACGACGCGAGTTCAAAGTATCGCTTGGGACTTGATTCGCGCGTGAAGCGAAGGAACGGAAGAGAAAGAGAGAGCTAGCGCGTCTTGGAAGAAACGATAGGACGGTTTTGTCGTCGTAATGTGATTTGCGAAATCGCAATTTGTGCGAACGGCCAGCGTTGTCGCTCCCTTCTCTCCTCGATCCTCCTCTCGGTCTCTTTCTTCTCTCTCGTACTCGTCGTTGACAGGAGATCGCAAAGATCTATCACATGATGACGAACGATGCATCTCGTAATGCAATCGTCTGATAATGCAATCTATCGATGTGCCATAAGCGCGTCTATATGCGATCGCTATCGAATTTAAATTCTAGATTGATGTGCGCAGGAAGACGACGAGTGTGAGAACGGATCGCGAAGTGTCAAAATTAACCTAGTCGCATTATTAACGAAATGAAGAATATAAAGCTTGTTATATGGTGATTAGTTTATACGGAAAAAAGAGAGAAAAAGGAAGAAACACAAGGAAGAGAGAGAGAGAGAAAGAGAGAGAAAAGGGAGTGGCGAATATAGACGCATATAGAGGTGCGAGACGGAAAGGATAAAAGTGCGTGCGTAGACCTTCAAGGTGCCGTCCGAGACGAAATCGATAGTGTTTTTTGCGAAAAAAGAGTGGGAGAGGGAAATGTATGTGTCTTGGACTTTCGTCACAGATCATCGGTTAAATTCGAGCTGATGTTAATTCATGCAACAGGGTCTACAAGACACGCGTTATACGCACGCACACGCGAGACAGGAGCGAGACATCTCGAGATCGGCGCGTCGAAGCTAGAGGATGCGAGGCGAGGGAGAAGATAATTTTCAATAAAAAATGCAAATGAAAGAGAGACATGTCAGGTTTCTCTCTGTTTGAAATGTCCTCACCTCGCATCTCTAGTCGGGACGCCGTCGTCCGAGAATGGACAAGTGAGAGTGAGAGAGAGAAAGAGAAAGAGACAAACGTGGAGAATAGATATATACAGCAGATATTTTTAACATGGCGCAAATTGGTGTACTAGGTGCGAGACGAGCAATTGTAAATATAGCTACACTCGAACTTAATGATAAATGTAGATAAAGTATCGTAATGTGTAAAAGAAATGCGCGCGAGAACGGTCGTGAAACACAAGTGGAACTGTCGATACTGCTTTTTTATATGTATACAAAGAAGAATACACGAGTCTCTCACACACACACGCATAAAGATATATAATAGGAATTTACGTCCCCGAAATATACGCGAATACGGGAGAAGTAATATGGGGAAAGTCGTGAAATTATATCGGACGCGTCGCGATTCTATATTCTTTTGTTTTGATATAAAAATGCGTGGAAAACGGAGGAAATTTTAGTTAAGAGAAAACGCGCGATATTCGCGTTAAGTGGATAGCCGCGTTAATCTCGACCCAGGCCTACGCACACAATTGACACAAGAAAACATATACATACACACGTACAGACGTAGACATACACTATCGCTTTAAATCGGCATACGTATCGTACAATCGGCGATGTCGTCTCATCGATTTCACCGACGCGTACAAACGTATAATTGGAGCCAAGTATAATTGCGGCACCTAGAATCGAAATCAAGTCAAGTCTAAGAGCCATAGAGTTTATTTTACATATAATTTCATACTTCAAATATAACGTAAGTTCAAATGGAGTCTTCGAGACGTTAGATAAATGGAACAATACATTGATTTTTCAAGAATAAAATTAATAATCAATGTGAATTAAACGCTAGAGTATTAAACTATATATATGATAGTCATTAGAAAATTATTAACAAGGATAGTCATTAATTTTATCGCTGCAAAGTTGTCGCATTGTCCCATTTATCCGCTCAATTGTCTCACTTGAGCATAAACTTTGTAGATTTTAAACTTGACGAATATTTCGATTGTGGAAGAAGAGGGTGCCTGAGGTATAAACGAATCGACTGATTCGTCGTAGATAACGTAGACACTTGTAAATAGGCATCACGTAAACGAGTAAAAGCTGCTATTGTCACGTAACATCTGCATGTAACAAAAACCGACGTGACGAGACGAATGACAGTCGTAACGGGATGCGTCGAAGTAATAATGTCCAGAAGAAAAATAATAATAATAATAATAATAATAATAATAATAATAATAATAATAATAATAATAATAATAATAATAGTAATAATTATAATATGATAACACGATAAGTAATAATAATAATAATAATATAATAATAAATATAGTAATAATAATAATAATAATAATAATAATAATAAATAATAATAATAATAATAATAATAATAATAATAATAATAATGGAATACGATAATATTACCATTGTGTACGAGAAATGCCCCGCCTATCTTTCTACTAAAAATGAAAAATTATTTTTTGAATTGTGTCGTCGAGAGAAGAAAAGTCCTATGTAACCGCGTGTATGTGGGATCGCCCTGTGAAGAGAACCTCCCCGCGCTCCACCGAAGAGAGTACCCGACAAAAAATAGGGTTTAACAAGAATTTATGCAGAGATTTATTTTTAAAATTTTTCGAAATTTCCCAAAATTTTATTGAATTCTCTTCCATAATTTTTCCCATTTGTATCAAATTATTTTTATCTTCATCAGAAATAATCAGGAATTTTTCAATAATTAGAAAAACAAATTATTCAGAATTAAACTCGCCGTCAGTATTTAATTATTAGTGTTTTAATTGTATTCGCAAAAACTTTTAAACTTAATTTTCATTTCTAGATGTTTAATATTATTAATATTAATTTCTAGATGATTTTCTCTCCCGAGATTCTTTGAATTCGTCTATTTTTTACAGGGTACAACCTTGACCCCTCCTCTCTATAACTGATATAGCTGAATTCGTCGGTGTTTATCAATATTGGGTAAATAAGAAAAAAAGGTAGATCGAAGTTTATGGTTCGGATTGAATGAAGTAACCGACTAAATAGAAAGTAAAGACGCAAAAAAATTAATATAACGCATAATATATATATACATATATATAGGGGTACACGGTGAGCCAACGTGCGAGCCCACGCAGCTCCACCACGTTGTGTTCCACGTAGGCGATATATAATAAAAAAAAGATACATAATCATAACTGCAAATGTACGTACTAGTTGACGAGTTGACGTGGATTTAGCGAACGGTTAAGGGAATGTGCTAGTGAATCTTACAGTGAATCTTAACATCGCTGTACATATCTGTTGTGTATAGCCTACTATCTCGCGAAAGTAGTCTTCACATCCTCGCTTAAAAAGAAATTTTCACCAGAGAATTTTAGCGACGACATTGATTTTGCAATATTTAAGTCAAATCTCAATAACTGTCATATCTTTAAAATCTTCCACATTAAAGTTATCTTTACAAAAAGATTAATTGAAAAAGAGAAGAACATTGATAGAATTCATATATGTATTTTACATCGTGACGAATTTTTCATATTTGTAAAATAATGCCGCCAAAATTCTTGTACTCTTTATCAAAAAAATATCCCGTCTAAGGAAAGTTTTTTTTTGTTAATCGTCTTTTTCTAAATTATTATTTAGGAGAATCACATGATGAATCACAGATCATTATGCCCGAAGATGAGGCTTTAATAATCTGTGAGTCATCATGCGATACAATGATTAAATTTGTTTTTCTTCCGTAAAATAGAACAAGCAAATAGATTCAAAACGCGGCAAATTGCTCAGTCATCAGGGCCTCGGGCTTTAAATACACGGGCTCGTCGACATTATTTCTTCAAAACTTTAATAAAATTGTTTCTTCGCAATTATTGTAGTATCAAGCAATAATTTTCATTATATAATTTCACATATTGAAACGTATATGTTAGAATAATATTTGAGAGAACTCTAAAAATTATCTATTCAAGATTAAAATGTGGTGGGAAAATCTCGAAATAATTTCACATGGTAATTAAAAAATTAAATTTTATTTTATTTGACATGCAAATAATTCGAAAACTGGACTACAACTGACTCATTAATATTATTTCCAAGATTCCACGTGTGCAGAAATATATATATTTTTTGCTGTAAAAACCTTGTTATCGGAGTTGATCTTATTCCTATCAATTTATAACATGGACATGTGTGATTAACTTTAAACTAATCGAACTTAATAACGAGGCAAGATTGCCTCTTCGGTGATGTTTTCGAACGTCGCCTCGGGTAACCCGCATCCCCTCGATATTACATTCTTAATGATCTCCTCGGCTCTTGGAGCACGAGGGGATAAAATCCCCTCCGTAGCAGCGCTTGTTACTGAGTTGTCTATTAATATGCCGTTATCCGACACGCGCGCATTATTGTATAGTTTGTAGCAGAAATGCTCGGCAGCGTTTTGTCGACGCCTCGAACGGGAGATTTTTCGTTGCAAGCCACTTTCTATGTGTACTCGTCTACTCACAAAACGATACGTAAAAACGGGAGAGAGAAAAAGAAAAAAACGATGCGACGTTAAAAAGTCCTGTACTCGAGTTAACTTTACGCTTAGCGCATGTTTCCTTCGAGCGCAAGAGAGCCGCGGGTGAATCCTGCCTTTTATTTTATTTTCAATAGTCTCATTAAGAGGATTCTAATAAAAATTTACTTGACCGAATTTTTATACACGGAAAATGATGAAACATATTGCACAGTTTTTGCAATTTCTTTATATTTTAAATGTAGAAAATCATGAATACAAAATTAAAACATAATTTTCAGATTAAATTAATTTAATATGCATAATGAGAATTTGTATCAAAAATACAGAAAAACATGTGTCCGCTATATCTTAACATTTTCTTCGATCTAAATAAATACAAGAAACAATATTAAAATTTTCAGAATTTTCGAAAAATTGTATCCTATACTTGTGCAAATTTTAAATATCTATGTCTTTGGAATGAAAGAATCTGAAAGAAAATAGAAGCAGGATTCTCGATGCGGCTCGTCGCAGGAAGGTGCAAAATTTATTATTGTTATGCCGGATCGCGATCGGCAGGCGCGATCGAGATTAAGAAAAAGCAATACTTTGTAACTATCGTGTATGTCTCTGAATGCTGTTAAAAGACCGGCGATAATGCTGTTAAAGAACGCAAGAGAGACGATGATAAATATGTCAAAAAATGGAGAGAGTGTGAAAGAGGAAGGGTGTGTGAGAAACGCTAAAAAGCGCGCGAGAGACATTATATATATACATAGATTAATATATAAATATATAAATATATAAATATGCGAGAATTGTGTTAACATAGTTACTGCGAGGAGAAGGGAAGGAAGTCGTGCGCTTTTTTTTTATATATATATACTGACGAGAGCCATTCATCTCTCACGCTTTTTTCTTGTAAGTCAGAAAAATTGCAGCGGTCGCGCGTGACATTTCTTTTTGTACATATATAACGATATGACCGAAAATGATATTGACGTCACGCGATGACACAGGAAACATCTCTCGAGATCTCTCCGCGATCGATTTCCTTGCAACATTCTGAGTAAGCGTAAAATAAATTCTAAACGTCCACGGTCGGTGAAAAGTAATTATGAATTGTCGTGCATAATTTTTATCTTGAACGCATATCGTATATATATAATTGCTCTCTATTATACATGCACGATTTGACACGTTAAACACGCTATTCCAAAAGGTTCAGAAAAAAGAGCTCTATATCAGGTGATGTGGACGTATGCGTTATGAGAATTTTTATCTTGGACTCTGATAATACATTTTTTTCGCTTTAGTATTTATCATAAAATACAACAAATATACATACGAGAGCTTCGTTATCGTTCGCGGGCGGAACAAAGAGAGAGAGCTGATACGTAAGAAGAGGAAAAGAAAAAAAAAGAGTCACAATCGTACGCGACATTGATGTTGTTAATTAGGGTACCTACAATTATCCGTAGCGATGGTAGTTTCGTACACCTGTGCCCGCAAAAAGGAAAGGAGAATCATGTCACCGTAGCGACCTTTGTACTTTCATATAAAGAGACGACGGTCAATTTGTAATAGACGGAGAGAAAAAGTGACAAAGTAAAAATTGAGACTCCTTCCTGGCATTTACTCTCGGCATTTGGCGTGTCAGTGAACGCGCGGCTCGTGTCCCGATGACCGAGGTGCAGAGGACACCTTCGATGAACCCGACGATCACCGACACGGCCGAAATACACGCTCGCCCGTTTGTCTATATTTTTCCTTTTCGTTTTTCGTAAACTTGTACATATTTTAATTGCGATCATTATGTAAATACTCTGAATGAACACACACACGTACGCGTGCGTGCTCGCGCGCGCGCACGCAAGGTTTATTTTAAAAAGATTATACATATATTATATATGTGTATATATATATATATATATATATATATATATATATATATATGGATATATAAATATATTTACCATGTAATGATATATTTAACAGTAAGGTAACATATATTCTATACTCTTACACGCTAAGTACTCAATAAATATATCTATAAAATCTCCCCGTGTTTGTGTGAATGTCTACCCCTAAACCCATCCTGATGATCCCATCGTATCGTGGCGTCTGTGAACCACCCTATCAAAAGAAAAAAAAAATTATCTCGAATAACGTCGTAAACCTCTGTTTATCGGACCCGTTGAGGGGACTACCGTTAAATGTGTTCCCTCTCTCACCCTCTGTTATCTCATTTCGCGCACTATTTTCCCTCCTCCTCCTCTACCTTTGCGCGCCTTGACGTAATTTCACACCTCACGAATGTTCGTGAAAGACTTTAGACTATAGGTATACAGATAAATATATGTATATAAGTATAAATACATATATATATACGATATTCTCGCGACGGGTCCGACGTGGTCTGACAAGTACCTATGGATACGTGATGTGATGAAAGTTGTTTTTCTATCGATAATAACGAGAAAGATAATTAAAATCTTTTAGTAACATCACTTGCAAGTTGTTATCATTGCTCTCTCTCTCTCTCTCTCTCTCTCTCTCTCTCTCTCTTTCTCTCTTTCTTACTATGCCCACACAAATACACATATACATAGTATGTTGGATTCAATGCGCGTCCAACAAGATCACTTTTTTCATCTGTTACCTGCTCACCTCTGACTGCGAATGCGACAATAGGAACTTATTTGTCGGTGCTCTAGCAGAAAAACTACACGACAATACGGCAGTAGCTATTCTGTTTCGCCAATCACCTTATGCTGATCCTCCTTCGTTTCTCTGTAAAAATTATGAAAACATGAAAGAAAAGATTCACAATTGTATTGATGCTTAAATATAAATTTTTGATTATGCTCAGGAAAATATTACTATGCCTATAAAAACAAAGATATTAATCTTATTGGGATTATTTAGTATGGCTTTTAAAATTTTCATTTTATATTAAAATTATAAATATCTCACACACAATTTCTACCTTTTCTTTTATCTTTATATATTTATTTTTATTTGTTATATATTTGAATCTATTTCTATTAATAAATGACTGAATTTCTCTTTAATATTAATTAATTTTTTTAATTAGAGAGAATTCATAGTGATTAGAGAGAATGGAAAAAAATATACGTATGTGCTTTATACTAATTAAATTGAAATTATTATCATTACTGATTTATCTTCTTAAACATTTAAAAACTAAACTATTTCTTTCTATGAAAAAAACTAATAAATTAACAAAGAAAACACAATATAGAGGAATTAAATACCACAGTTAAGAATATTGTTTTGTACATTTTTATTGCAAAACAAGTGTTCTTGACAGTGATTTTGCTCTTTACAAATGTGTTACACATGATGATTACGGTCTAGAGACAAGAGGAAAAAAATACATGTTACATTCCCGTCAGTTCTTTTATTATCGAATTATATAATACAATAAATAAATTTCGCAAATATATCCGAATACAAACAAAATCAAATGTTAGAACTGGATTGTTGAGAATGTAACATATATCAAATATTTTTGTTCCTTGAAATAATCTTAAGGAATGAAATGTTATAAGTAGTAACTAATATTATATTTGGAAAACTTCACATTCTCTCACATAATTAGAATGGTTAAGAACAAAGATAAGTTCGACTAATTACAATTCTTGATTTACACAATACATATATGTATAAATTATATAATTATAATTTGATTTCTCATTTGTTTGAATGCAGCAAGATATAGCGTGCATTAATCCATTAAAGTATAACGCGTTTTTACTAGAAAAAATGTTTACATACAAAAAAAATTTACTGTAGAAAATATAATTTAATGGAAAGGTATATTGAAAAATACTTCCATAATTTACCTTTTTTTTTCTTGGTAAAATTACTCATATTTTTCTAATCAAAATTTGCTTTAAAGTACTTTTCTAATTATCGTAATTTATATTTTATTAGTACTTTTTCAAATTGCATTTTATATTATAAAAACATTATAGGAAGTTATTAAAAAGCACGACTTAACTTAAAATATTATGTACATTTTGTGCCTATTAAATTTAATATCTTTTTTACATATTTGCATCAATTATAATGTGAATAGTTATCTCGTGAGCAATAGTTATAATATATATATGTGCACTAATGCAATTGTATATTATCGGATAAAGCAAATACTGGAAGCAGCACCCGTCGTGGGTTTAGGAATGATGAAATGTATTTATTATTAGTAGGAAGTTTAGCAGAAGTTATGAGAAATATACATAACAAATTAACTATAGAGATTAATTAATAATAGAGAAAAGGTATCATTCTTAATATTTAAACACGAATAGAATTATTAGTTTCTGGCAATACGCTTTTCTTATTTAATAAAATATTTTATATGAGTATAAAAGTTGCAATATGTGTAAAAATACAAATATATCGATCGAATGAATAAATTAATCATTCTCTTTAGCATTGGAATAACACAACAATAATGTATGTGAATAAGTTTTCACAATATTACTTACTCAAGGCCCAGAGCCCAATTTATACCTTGAACTAGGAACAAAATTAAAGGTTGCCAAGCAACTAACCATCTTAACCAATCCAGTAACTGGCCGAATAAAACATGTGGCCGTTGCCATCTGCATTATTCATTAAGGTACACAGAAGATTTAAATTGGCATTAAATTAATTAATAAACTCATTATAATTAATTAATAAACTTTTTATAGAAAAGGATACGGATTGCGAAACATTTTTTTTAAATCCACTTTTTCCTTACAATAAGGGCAAGTCTGTTTTTTTCCTACAATACACCAGCCCCTAATGCAAAATTCATGGAAAACATGTTCGCAAGTAAGTTTGTATGTATTTTCAATCACACCTTCTTCATGTTCCGAAACAAGAAGTTTGTTTCCACATACTGCACAAACATTTGGTTCTAGAGTTCTAGTTGGCATACTGCCTGGAGTGTAATACTGCATAAAGTATATTACATATTACAAAATTATATGTTTAATGCACTTTGAATACAAGATAATTAATACATACTCCAATATGTGATGCCATTGTGTCAGCACATATTTCAGCGACATCTCTTCCTAATACTCCAAAATAAAGACCATAAAATAGAAGTAGTATACCCCAGTCCATCCAAACATGAGGCTTAATGTCTAATATAATATTTAGACCAACAAATGTAAGTAACATTAAAACATAGCCGATTATGCCCAGTGCATAACTGAGCTTATAAATGAAATAAAACCATTTGTACACTAGTCTGAAAAAATAAGAAAGAATCTTTGTTATATTTTATAATTATTCTTTTTATGTAGCATTAACAATTATATAATATTACCTAGGTGTTGTACCTAATATTGGTCTTTGAATAGCTTTTCTTACCACTAGACCTGTTATACACGAAGATAAAAGCCACAAAAATATAAATCTCCACCAGTGATTCTTTAAGCTTATTCCAAATGGAATAATCCACATGGCTACTAGTGTTACAAGCTAGTATTACAAAAGGAACATTTTATTTTATTGTATAATTAAAAAGATATTTATATTAGATAATAATTATTTTTAGATAATAATTATTCTCTCTACCTGATATGATTTAAAATGCCTCTTCTTCCATTCAACTAATGCAATCTGTGCTATTGTTAATGTCACTAATAATATAAGTAGCATCTCTGCATGCATGGATTCGTGACCCATATGCTGTTCGTGCATCTTTATATGCTCCACTCTAAAAAATTTAATAAAAAACGTAGCATTAATATATTTTTCCATATAAATGTAAAAATAATCATTTGCTAGAGATGACGAGAAAAATGTAACGTTGTGTGAAAAATCCAAAATTTTATTCCAAAATTTCCCAGAATTTGTTACGATTCTACCCCAAAAGATTAAAGTGTAAGAGAGAAGTTGGGGAAAGATATATTGATTGCTGACATATACGCTTATGTTAAATAAAGTTTTGAACTTTTTACACATGTTGTATATTTATCTGGATCACTCTATTATTTTTTAACTTATGCAAGTCCTGTATATTTAAGTTATGTATCCTGTGTAATAAGTTTAGAACCGCAAGAAAAGGTATTATAGTATTATGCTTATAGTATTTATAGTATTATGCTATAATACTATAAATTTATAACTTACTTCCATTTTTCCTCTGGAGTTAGGTCTTCGTTACTCTAAAACAAGAAGCATCGTAATTATAAAATTCTAATCAATAACACATGCGATTTAAAGCAAACATCCCTTAACAATATACCATTGCTATCAACAATAAATATTTATGTGTAAAACGAAAATGATGCCTATTATTATTATTATCATATGTCAATCTATAATAAATGACGTAACGTGAGAGGTTATGTTTTCGAGAATACGCATGTTACTTTAATATTATCAAGCCACTACTCCGTAGAATTATATACGTACCTTATTTGGCATCTGATGTATTTCATGTATATCCATCATGAATGTTTTATTTCACTAACACGTAAAGAAATGTAAATTAATTAACTGATACAAGACAGCCAATACGTTGCACACACATCTTTAACACAGTTATCGATATTATATATTTAATATGAATGACCGGCACTTTTTTTACGTTATCAACATTATTATGTATGATTAAATAAGCCTTTTAAAAAATAATTACTTGAAACGTTTACAAATCTCGTCATAACTCCGCGCTTTTAATCAGCTTTTTCTGCATTTTTTAAATCTAATCTTCACAATAGACAGATCTTTGATATTTCGCGCCGAAAATATTACGATATCGCTAACGTTAACTAAACGCTAAATCGCTTCTACGCGTGTGTACGCTAGTTTTCAGAGGTTATGTATTTGATTTGAAGCAAGGTAGATAGAATATAAAGAGGGGAATATTCGTAACTAAATTGTCTAGTAAAATAGTTGACGATTATGTCGTAAGGAGCGCTCATTGGACCGAAAATTTACGTGAAAAATAATATAAGATTTTTGGAAAATAATATAGGATTTTTAATTTAACAAGATCTATTCTCTCGTGTATTTTTAAACGCTTTAGGACTGTCAGATATACTGTACGTACATACATATATTATATCTCTCTTATTTAATTATAATTAAATATTACAGATTGTAAAATTAACTTGATATTTGTGATGAAAGTGTTAAAAAGCAGCATTAGATATGAGATATTTATGCCAAATGATGATAAATTCATAAGAGCTCCGAACGAGCGAACATTTAAAAAACATTCATAAACTTGAATACAGTAAGTGGAAAGATCTTGAAGACTAAGATAGAGAATAACCTCTACTGTTGTCATGTATCCATTCTTCAAGATCTTTCCAGTTACTCCAGTATTTTGTTACTGATTTTATATTGGAATTTTTGAGAATATCAAAAATTCAAATTTGTTCGATGATGTTTTGATAATAACAGTATTACTTTAAAAAATACTAGTTTGAAGGCTTTATAATATTGCGCACATAATTGAAGCTATATTTTATAGTAATGATTAATCCAGTAATTTTTATTTTGTATTATTACAGATTACTTCCTTCAACTCCTAGAAATGAAGATGTTGACATTAATCTTCAAGACTCTTCTCTAGCTTCCTCTTTAAGAGACTTTTCTGACATTTCTACCGATAGGTCAAGACAAAGAGGAAGCATTTAGGAAATCGAAAGATCAAATAGTAGTAATCAACCACCTTCTGACATCAGAGATTCTTAATATCAGCCAAGGCAGTCAACAGCAGTTTAATATAATGGTTAATGTTCTTGACGAGGTTTTACAACCAGTTAAAGACATGCATGTACCATCTATTCCATTACCTTCAGATCCTAAAAATATTCCCCGTATCAGATCAAAAAAACGCAAAAATAATATTCAGATAGAAGAACCTCCAAATAAACGCAAATATTCCAATGTAGAATTAATTAAAAAATATAATGACGAAATTTTTACCTTACTATATAAAAGGAATAAAATAATTAAGAAATTAATGTCTACAAGTGAAAAAGCAATTTTTACATTAATTCAAGAGATCAACAAAATCTTGGAGGAGATGTCAGAGGATAATAGTTAATAGTATCGCTAATTCTAATTTTGATTACATTATTGACTTTGCTTTCATAAATTTGACGATTTGTAAAACGTTACTTAAAAAAAATAAGTGAGAGAATTCCGTCTATTATAAGATATTAGATTTGTATTGATTTTTTGTTGTAACATTAATGCAAGCCTGCAGTTAACACTTTTCGGCCGATTTTAGTTATTGCCATTCCTACTTCTTTTATTTCACAGCATTTAGATAGTTCGCGGAACATAAGATGTTCAGATGTTTAGAACAACATTAATTATAAACCAGATAGAGTTTTATTGTCCAATACATTGTTTGTAAAATTATTATTGTTATGATTATTATTATTATAAGGTCAAAAGTAACACTGAAATGAAATACGAATTTTAATCGTATCTATACATATATTAATATGCGTTTTAGTATTCTAATTTTATAATACTTATAACAATTATAATTATAATAGTAATTATAATAACTTTAGAAAGAATAACTTAAGAAAGAAATGTGTGCAAAATGATTTACAACTATAATCATTCATCTTTAAAATCTTACGATTCCGCGAGAAGTCTAGAGAAAAGTATAAAACAAAAAGGAGTGGGGATAGTAGACAAAGTCGGTTGAAAAATGTTAACTAATCTGCATTAATGTAACACAAATTGATAATTGTATCGATTGTTTTACGAGAGACAAAGAGAAAAAAATATATCTTCTTCTTTCAATGGACTCCACTTATTAAGCATCGACAAAAAATAAAGTAACATGACATGATCTATTATTGATTTTATAAAAATAATTTTTCAAACGTATTGTGTGGGTAAATGTTTAAACCAATATTATTATAGGTGTTTATATTCAATTTATTGACTTGCAATTGTAATGAAATGAATGTAAAATTGATTCAATTTCATAAATAAAATTTTTACATAAGCATAATTGTAAATTTATTTTTAAATTTATAATTTTCCAATACACTTAAAGCTTATAATATTCAATTAATTTATATTTATTGATTCGATGATTTTGCACTTTAACGGAATTAATTTTTGCTAATTCAAAAATATCCTGCAAGAATTGGAGAATTGTTTTTAATATTTATTATGACACTCATTTGTAATTATGTAATTCTTTTTGTAATCATTAATAGGTAAGATAATGAACTGTAAAGAGAGAGAATTGTATTTTCATATAACTGGAAGTATATAGGACTTGGATCTTTAATATTAGAGTCTTATATTTCCTTCCATAATACATTCCTTGATAATCACATGTCGACGATATTACAGATGAAAAAAGAATGCAATGCTTCGTTAATATCCTAATCTCATAACGGCGAAATTAATTCATGTCCTTATAGTTACGTTAGAATGGAGGAAGCACTTCAATTCTAATTTTCAATTATAATCTTTTTAATCAAATTGCATTAAATTAAATTAATTTTATTACATGGATACTGCAAATACACGTCTTACATTTATGTACAACAATCTCTTTTCAAAATATTATATAATTATTCTTTTTTTATTATTACATGTCTTTATCATTAAAAAATTAATATATTGTACGAAAAATTTTCAATCGCTACAACATGTTGCTTAGCTTTTGACTATTATTTATTTATTCGTCTACAAAGAAACACAATTCTAAAATATTTGATAAAAAGTTATAACAGACAAGTACACGCGGCCAAGTCTTTCGTTACCGTCTCGTCCGTGGTACACCTAAAATATAGAGGTGTCCGATATTTTTTTGCACATCCGAAGTATGAAGATAGATTAGCAAATTAAGAAGGAAACTTTTCTACAATTTTGTGATTTTCGCAATAATTAATGAGAAATTAATTAAAAGGCTCCGTATGAAGACACTAGCGAGCGGTATCTATACGTTGAAATATACGAGCAACTGATTATTACCTGAAGAAACAATGTCGAGGTTTCGTTGCCATCATAACAAAATACAGAAATTTTTTTAACATTCAACGACCATGGCTCGTCCCTTCTCGTTAAACATATATTATAATTTCCATTCACTTCGAAAAACAGACATGTCGCACTTGAGCTTGGCAAGTATTATAAGAATTAAAAAAAAACAATAAATATACAATAATCAGCCTAATACGAGCTAAGCTGCGGATGATAGGTCAATTAAAAATCAAAAAATAGAAAAATGTCGATAAGTATTATAAGTATTCGAATCAAATTCATTTAGTTAATGTTTTATCTATATAGGTACAATAAATAAAAAATTTGTCATTTATTTATATAATTCAAATATAACCAACAGTTTCAAAAATTAAAAAATCATACAAATAAACATACAAGTAATGAGACATTGTTTAATCCGAATAACAATTAAATACTTAAAGTAATACTTGAGATCTTATAGCTCAAACATTTTAATTAAATATTCTAATGAAATAATATTTTTTACATATTAATAATAAAAAAATGATTAAAGATAAATTGTTAAATTGAGAATTTATTATTGAATTAAAAATGTAATATCGAATCGTAAAAAATTTAATATCAACTTACTATAGTCTTATTGTTTTAATTGTAATTTGAACGCGGATTAAAAATTCAAGTTGAAAATTTAATAACAGCTTCACATATTCAGTAACAGATATATAAATTTAAAGACAAATTTTAAAGATATATTATAGTACATAGGTTTTAAGGGCATTTAATGTGATTTTTAACGGCTTTAATTCCACATCATAAATAAAAATATCAATGTCTTTTATTAGAATTCCTTCACGTATCATGAAATAATATTGTTAAACAAATACAAATCAGGCAAACACGTTAAGCAGATTTAGACAGTCAATATTTATATTCATACAAATAATCACACATCTTACCATGATCTATCCTTCTTTTTTCCATACACTATCTATATTCTCCGTATATTTTTGTTTGAAATAATTCTTATTTTCGATTTAGTAGTGCATGATCTATGATACATAACAGACATCATGAGTATGTGGATCTGGAATTATTTTACGTTAGAAGGTTTATGTAAAGCAAGGTGTAGTCTTTGTGACGAAGATTATAAGCCTCGCCTAGTAACAACAAAAAATCTAAAGGATCATATAGAGAAGAAAAAGAATAACGATAGTGAGCATTTGTTAGCTTATGGTAAGATTAGTGAAATACTCATAAGAGCTTCGGAAGAAATGAGAGAGCATTTAAAAAAAGATCATGAAATTGAAGAACGTAACTGGCAAGGACTTCGAGCTGACATACATTTGAATGCTCGCAATTATTATGACGACGGACAAGAAGAAAATGGAGTGATCAAAGTAGACATATGTAAAAAATGTTATAGTGAGATTCGAGCGAAGAACGCTATCATGTTCGTAAAGCACTTGGACGCCAAACATCACGAATGTCAGATCTTCCTTTCGCGGAAACAGTAAGTGAAACATCGAATATTATTAATTTACTTCTTTGAATAATTTATATATTTATTTTGAATAATTTATATACTTTTACAATAAAAAAAATGTATACCATGGATAAAATTATAAAATTCAGATATTTATTTATAACACATGTTTCGGACAAATATTTTGTATATTTGGATTAAATTAACTTATTGTTAAGTTATTAATCAATACAAATCATACAAATATCAAATTACAAATTTATCATACAAATATCATGCAAATTTAAAATTTAATTTAGTACTATTGTAGTCAATAATTTATGACACTTTGCGTAAATATAAATTGTGAATAAATATAAAAATTTTTTAAACAAT